AAATCAGTTAAGTGATGAAAAATTAGGTGTCTGTTTACTTGTGACCACTCAGTGTATATGTGTGTATATAGTTTGAAGTTTAGAGGTGTGCATTTTTAAATGCTTATGTTCATGTGCCAGACTTCCACAATTTAGAATTTTCAGGAACTTGTATGGCTACTTAAAAGTCTAACATGTTTTTCTAGCAATAGAACAAATGTGAAAAAAGAAAAACTACTTGTCCAAAGATAAAATGTTTATGTATAATGGTGAAACTTGTTACCCTGGGTGTTTTCCAATATGAATTCTACACTCCTACAATTCTAGGTTTTAAACTCTATTGTTTCTATAAGAGCTGGGTAATTATTGGAGTTTACTGATAAATTATTGTCAGTCTCCTTAATCAGTTATATTCAGTTAATTGATTCTTCTCATGTGAGAGTTGGATAACTGGAATAATCAGAAGTAGTTATAATCAGAAACACTGATTTTGATTAGTTGATTATTTTTATGAGCAATTAATTTATTAAACTTAAAAACCTTAAATGAATTGAAAATAATGAGAAAATATAAGGTAATATTTCAATTTGATGTTAAACTGGACCTGTTGTAGAAGGCAAGGGAGAATCACCTCAACTACTTCTCCCTAAAAAGGTGAATATCAAGAATAATGAAACAAATAATGTAAACTGAGCCTTTCAGTTTGATGGTGGGGAACTGCATCACGGAGGGAAAGAAGTAAGGCTTCTCAGGTTGTTAACAGGCAAAATTTTTAAAGGAGTAAAGAGAAAGGAGCTGTAATTAAAGTTGGAACATGAAATATTAGAACAATGTTGAGAATGAAGAAATTAGAAAACATCAAGAAGATGTTGCATGCCCAGCTGAACATTTTGGGACTATGTTAAGTACAGATAGTGAGAGAAGAGGATTTCAACAGTGATGGTGGAAGAGTTATCTGTGCTAGAGAACAGAAAAGTCAGAGAGAAATAGTAGTGCTACTTGATGTGAAGATGGCAGAAGTGTGTTCACAAGAGAGTTAGAAGAAGTGATAGACTGTTATTTGTTAAATTGAAAGCACAACCATTAGGAATGGTGATCATTAATGTCTAATGTTGAAGAGGCAGTAAATGCAGCTTATGAACAGATAGAATTAAAGATTGATGCAGAAAATGTGATTATGCAGTCATAATGTGTGATTGAAATGCAGTTGTAGGAGCAGGAAGAGATGGTAAAGAGATTGGTGGCTACTGTTTGGGAACTAGAAATGAAAGTGGTGGAAACTGGTTGAATTCTAAAGATTGGGAAAACTCTTCATAGCAAATGCATGATTTCAGCATGGAAAAAAAGGAGACTATATTTGGAAGAAACTGGGTGACTCCAAAAAATTCCAGATAGATTATAT